AGGTTAAATTGAGAGATCTATTCACATTTCATGGGTATTGTATTTCTAATAATAAGTTACTTTTTCAAAGATTCATCGTAGTAATATTAGAATCAATGGTTAGTCTTGATTATTAATTCAAATGAGTACAATATTATGAATACAAAAATTGAAAATATTATGGTAAGTATGATTCTAAGTCTAGATTGGATAAATAAGAGTAATTTCAACACTTTATAAGTTTGGTAAACGTATTGTGTTATGATTTTTTTTTAGAAATGAAATCAATCTCTTATGTGTTAGGTGGATTGAATTCATTTTTCATCTCTCATTAGGATATTATCTCACTTATGAATCTTTCTTAATAAAAGACCTATAAAAAAACTCAATGTGAAATATTTTATTAGATTTGTCTAAACTCGGACCAACGAGTATAATATCTGTAGACATTTAAATCGTTCCTTCCTCCTTGCGTCTACAGGGTATAAATTGCATGGCTAAACATGAAACTTCAATTCAACATGTAACTTGTTAGTATTTGAGTTTTTTCGTTGTATATGCATACTTACTTGTTAGTAGATTCAAGTGGGGTTTCTGTATTGAGAACTTGATTTTCTTGTTCTTTTCCATAATTTGTTATGAATCAACCAGAAATGTCATTTGCCTTTTAGCGGTTGTATGTTCTGCCACGTACCATGTTGAATGGTAAGAGACTAAGACTTGTATTATTGTTCTATATACAGTCTTCAAAATCACAAAAACACTCATCTTCATTGCCATGAACTTTGCATTTCTTTGGATCCAGTCACTTTTCACCACCTCCCTCATAATGAAACTGGGTGAAAGATACTTAGTTTTCGAGCATATATTGTTGTAAAAGCTGACAAAAGTAGAATAAAGATCACGAACAATATACTTCCTGAGGCGTGTAGATCACTGTCCTTAAGGACTTATCCGCGGTGTATTGCGCAAGCCTCCCATAATACAACAGGAACTTCTCAGAATTTTTGAGGATCTCAAAACTAGCCAGGATCTCTTAGAGAGAATAAATAAACCCAGAATATTTTAAGAAGAAAAGAAGACAAAAAGATTAGAGAATGAGAGAAAGAGAAGAGAGTGCAAATATGCGTATTTGGAATGAAGAAAGCCACTCTATTTATAGAGTGGGAAATCAACAAAGATTGGCCTAAGGCCCAACGCCAATGGGAAAAATCCCGTGCCTTTCGGAAGTGGCTTTGACTATGCAGCAACAATTTAAACGTTGCACATTAAAAAATTTAACGTTGGCAACCGCATCACACGAAACTTGCGGAATGTATCAACGTTAAATTATATTTTGTAATATTATATTAATAAATAATAACAATCCCCCCCATATTGCAAAAGATAAGAAACAATGATTTGAAAGAAAGAAAGAGAAAATCCTGGGTTTTATAAGATGTAATGCATCAAAGCTGGTATACCAAGCTATATGAACCAGTCCTAGATCAAGAAACTTAACACACAATATAGTTGGTATAGCAAGCTATATGAACCAAAGATACTTGAGTGTGTTAGAGGTTTATCAATCACAGTACACCCCCACAATCCTTGTTGTTATCGTTGTGATGCGCTTACTAGGCCATGCGCGTGCCCGGTATTCATGAGTGCTCTAGAGATCATGCCAAGATCTCATGCAAGCGGCCCCACTCGACACTCATATAGGTGATTTCATCAAGTGTATGCTGCAAATCATACACCACCCGTAAGGGATATGAAAAATCATTAAAAACTTTGTGTAAGCTAAAATTCTTTCACCACATAGAATTTTAACGACAAAGTTTAACCTCTCATAATGTAGTCTCTAGCACTTTCACATACACACCATAGGAAGGGACAAAATTGATTAAAATCAATTTAGTGCTATCAGAACTAACAAGTGACTTGTTTTTACCCATATGAACCTTATTCATGGGATCTCCAATCACAAAGGTTGGGTTACCATCACTTGTTTGTTTGCCAGTGGCTTAAGTCTCATTCCCCTCGATGTTTCTAAGATCATATTTCTTCCCAAGGGTTTTGTCACAAGATCTGCTAGATTTCGTTCTGACTTCACATAGTCAATGGAAATAGTTTCATTCTTTAGCAACTGCTTCACCAAATTGTGTCTCAATTGGATATGTCTATTCTTTCCATTGTAATTCTTGTTTTTAGCTATAGCTATTGCCGATTGGCAATCACAGTGTATTGATACTGATGGGGTTGGTTTCATTCCTAGTGGAATGTTTGCTAAGAAGTTTTTCAACCACTTAGCCTCACTACCAACCATCTCAAGAGTGACAAACTCAGATTCCACATTATTGATTTGCAATAATAGTTTGTCTGGCTGATCTTCATGTAATCGCACCACCCCCAAGTGTGAATACATAATCACTAGTGGATTTTGTCTCATCTGAATCAGAGATCCAGTTAGCATCATTGTACCCTTCTAGGACAACGAAAAATCCACTATATTCAATGGCATAATCTATCGAACCTCTCAAGTATCTCATAAGCCTAGAAAGTGCAGCCTAATGTTCTTGATTTGGACATTGAGTGTACCTACTCAGTCTACCTACTACATAACAAAAGTTCATCAAGTGCAGTAAGCTCCCAATTATCTGGGCATACTGAGGCTGAGATAATAATTCTCCTCTATTTTTCATTAATTTAGAATTAACATCATAAGGGGTACTCACTGGTGAGATCATAAAACCTAAACTTCTTAAGAAGTTTCTCAATATATTGTTCTTGGGATAGTAATATACTATCTCCCTTTCTTATGATTCTAATACCTAAAATCATATTGGCTTCACCCATGTCTTTCATTTCAAAGTTCGATCCTAGAAATAATTTATTTCTAGCAACAATTTCATTCTCAATCTGACACTATTCAATCATCATTCATCGTTATCTAAAGTCTCATTCAAAATTCAAAAATACTATATGCTCAATGGGTTCTACTCAAACAATAAATAAATATCATTCCAAAATAATAGATCATTTATTACTATAACCCATCATTAAAATCAAATTCCCATTTAATTTAAAAACTCAGTAATTTTCTTTTTGAATCAAATTAATTTCTCTTTAAATTAGTTTGATTGTCAATCAATTACTAAATAATTAATAATATTTTTTCTTCTCATAATTATTATTATAATTATAATAAATTAATCTCTTTTTTTTTCTCTCCCTTTACAATTTATTTTCATTAATTAAAATGATAGATTATGGGTTCTCCAGACCCAAACCTGCACCCAAGCTCAACTAGACACTCTGGGTTTGCAGTTCAAGTAGGTTCAAACTGAACCAATCACAGTCCTCCGTGCCAGACTCTGGGCCTACAGCCCAATTAAAAATTCTTATTATTATTTTTGGAATTTATTATTATAATTTCCAAATCTGTTCCTCAATTAAGATTGTTGTGAAAGCTGACAAAAGTAGAATAAAGATCACGAACAATATACTTCCTGAGGCGTGTAGATCACTGTCCTTAAGGACTTATCCGCGATGTATTGCGCAAGCCCCCCAGAATACAACAGGAACTTCTCAGAATTTCTGAGGATCTTAGAACTAGCAAGGATCTCTTAGAGAGAATAAATAAACCCAGAATATTTTAAGAAGAAAAGAAGACAAAAAGATTAGAGAATGAGAGAAAGAGAAGAGAGTGCAAATCTGCGTATTTGGAATGAAGAAAGCCACTCTATTTATAGAATGGGAAATCAACAAAGATTGGCCTAAGGCCCAACGCCAATGGGAAAAATCTCGTGCCTTTCGGAAGTGGCTTTGACTATGCAGCAACAATTTAAACGTTGCACATTAAAAAATTTAACGTTGGCAACCGCATCACACGAAACTTGCGGAATGTATCAACGTTAAATTATATTTTGCAATATTATATTAATAAATAATAACATATATTTGAATTATAATACCTTGGTGTCCTCAAGATCAAGGATATGATACTTTGACAACATTTTAATATTATTTACATGTCATTCTGTGATTGGTCTCAAATTACTATACAATCAATAATAATAATCATAAACACCAACATAAACCAATCATAAAATGACACGTAGATAATGTTAAAATGTTATAAAAAAAATGTTGTCAAAATATTATTATATCAAGAACAATGTCTGCACAAGGACACATTTTGCTTTTTAGTTTCGTAAACTAGATTCTGGAACCAAACGTGCAACACAAGAAAGTCACAAAAAGACTAAAGTATTCTACCAATTAATATGTGAGACATAAATCAAACGGGTTTCTATTTCACGTGGCCATATACAACGAAACAAATGGCCCTTGTTTGGTCACACATTATAAAAAGTTGCTAATTCTAGACCGTAGAAATAATCTTTTAGGACCCCCGTTTAGCTTGGACTCAATGACATAAAGTAGGACTCACGATGTTCAATCCAAAATTATATATGTATATCGTATTTAACTTCTTTTCAACTTGTCACTACAGTCATAAATTCTCTTTTACTAATACTTTAGTTTGATTTGTTTAACGTGGTTATATATATAACATGTATCTAAATTAGCTTCAACTATTAAATCTTCCTTAAAAATAATATAGATAATATTAAAAGTCTCACATGTTCACAATATATAAATATAAATGGATATAAATTTTAAAAATTAAATTCGATTTAAAATCTGTTTTTTAAGATTATATCGGAATCATAGTTAATGTGGATCTAGAATTAAAACTCAATGTGAATGAATTATTTGGCACCATGGCATGCATGATTGGAAAAGGACAAATAAATAATGGGATTGAAAAATAAAATAAAACACTGATGATTACGTGACGCAGTGTGCATTCTTCTCCTTGTCCACAAGAATTCATTCAAGGAACATGCATGTGATTCAAGATGACGAGTTGTCATGAAGGCCACTAACTCAACTAACCCTACCAGGCTCTATATATAACACTTATTTAAGAAACCAAGCCTTACTCTTAGAATCATAAAATTTAGCTTCTGAAAATGTGCAAAGGCGTGGAAGGGAAAAAGCTTGGTGGTTCATGCAGAAGCTTACCACCTGAAGGGAATTCTTCATTTGCTGCAACAAGAGGTTGTTCAACATCTTGTGAGCTGTGTGGTTTGCAAGCTTCATTGTATTGTCAGGCAGATGATGCATATTTGTGCAGAAAATGTGACGAATGGGTTCACAGGGCCAATTTTTTGGCCCTTAGACATGTGAGGAGCTTTTTGTGCAAAACATGTCAGAACCTTACACACAGATATCTGATCGGAATCTCATCAGAGATCCTTCTTCCAGTAAGATGGATTGTGCAGAAACAGAACCTTCCTAACAGCACCACCGATGAATTTTGTTCAAGAACGATTAGGAGACCTTTAATCTTTCTCTAGTTTTAGATGGTGTTGGTTTCTTTATGACAATATATGTTCGAAAACCAAATTGCTGCAATGACATATTTAATAGTTGTATATGTAGTCTTCAAATATATAATATTATCAGTAGTCACTCATACATTATGGTAGCAAAATTATAAACTTCACATATTGTTTTAAAATGATGAAAAAAAATTCTCAGCTACCACGGGGTAATAATAATTAATGGGATTTATGCAGTTGCCGGACAAAAACCTTGTACAACTTCTTCGGTTTCTCGATAAAAAAAAAAACATGATCTACATTCCACACTTTTGTCTATGAAGGTGTCGGAGAAGAATTCAAGCTAAACTTGACCTACTTTTAATTTTTAAGATTTATACTTATAAAAAAGAAGTATGTTAGAACACTATGGATTATCAGAAAATAATATAAGTTTAAATTTAATTTATATTTGAATTTTATAACATAAGATGAAACAAAACTAAATTTGGAATTGAAACCATTAAATGAGTATATCTACTTATATATTTATGAAGTTGAATCAATTTATGACTAACGTGAATAAGTATTTTAGCTTGAATTTATTCTTTAAAATTTCATTATCCTTTTGGAGATAATATAACTAAGAAATTAGAAACCTGAGATGACATGTTCTCNTAGCCTCACTACCAACCATCTCAAGAGTGACAAACTCAGATTCCACATTATTGATTTGCAATAATAGTTTGTCTGGCTGATCTTCATGTAATCGCACCACCCCCAAGTGTGAATACATAACCACTAGTGGATTTTGTCTCATCTGAATCAGAGATCCAGTTAGCATCATTGTACCCTTCTAGGACAACGAAAAATCCACTATATTCAATGGCATAATCTATCGAACCTCTCAAGTATCTCATAAGCCTAGAAAGTGCAGCCTAATGTTCTTGATTTGGACATTGAGTGTACCTACTCAGTCTACCTACTACATAACAAAAGTTCATCAAGTGCAGTAAGCTCCAAATTATCTGGGCATACTGAGGCTGAGATAATAATTCTCCTCTATTTTTCATTAATTTAGAATTAACATCATAAGGGGTACTCACTGGTGAGATCATAAAACCTAAACTTCTTAAGAAGTTTCTCAATATATTGTTCTTGGGATAGTAATATACTATCTCCCTTACTTATGATTCTAATACCTAAAATCAAATTGGCTTCACCCATGTCTTTCATTTCAAAATTAGATCCTAGAAAAAATTTAATTCTAGCAACAATTTCATTCTCAATATGAAACTATTCAATCATCATTAATCGAAATCTAAAGTCTCATTCAAAATTCAAAAATACTATATGCTCAATGGGTTCTACTCAAACAATAAATAAATATCATTCCAAAATAATAGATCATTTATTACTATAACCCATCATTAAAATCAAATTCCCATTTAATTTAAAAACTCAGTAATTTTCTTTTTGAATCAAATTAATTTCTCTTTAAATTAGTTTGATTGTCAATCAATTACTAAATAATTAATAATATTTTTTCTTCTCATAATTATTATTATAATTATAATAAATTAATCTCTTTTTTTTTCTCTCCCTTTACAATTTATTTTCATTAATTAAAATGATAGATTATGGGTTCTCCAGACCCAAACCTGCACCCAAGCTCAACTAGACACTCTGGGTTTGCAGTTCAAGTAGGTTCAAACTGAACCAATCACAGTCCTCCGTGCCAGACTCTGGGCCTACAGCCCAATTAAAAATTCTTATTATTATTTTTGGAATTTATTATTATAATTTCCAAATCTGTTCCTCAATTAAGATTGTTGTGAAAGCTGACAAAAGTAGAATAAAGATCACGAACAATATACTTCCTGAGGCGTGTAGATCACTGTCCTTAAGGACTTATCCGCGATGTATTGCGCA